GGCGTTTCTTCGATTGCGCAACACACCGAAGAGTTTCACCCCGATGAGGGGGGGTCCCTCGTCCTCCCCGGGTCCTCGAGCTTCGATCCGCCTCGATCCTGGATCCTCGAGTGCCACGCGCCCACCTTTGAGCGAGAAGCACGAGGGATGCCCCATCATGCACCCTCGATCCTCGATCATCCTCCCTCGATCCTCGGTCATCGCGGTCTCAATCCAGGAACTTCGCCCATCGGTCCTCCTTGCCTTCAGAGTCAGATGAAGGAGCATCCAGAATAGAGGTCTTTGTTTGGTCCCTTTGGGGCCCCTGGGAGATTCCAGAGTCGTTGGCAGGCCAACAACGTTTTTTTTTGGGGGGGGGTCAGAAGCTTCCGAGGGGGGCCTCCCAAAGGACAGGGTGCGGAGGAGGGAAGGGCGAGAAAGGATGAGTGAGAACGAGGGAAGCGAAACAGGCTGCAGAAGAGGAGAGACGACTTGCTCGCCCACATCCCTTCCTCGCTCTCGGAACCGTTCATCCGAATCATCTCCAATCATTGTTATCCCTCGTCCTCGCCCTCCTCGTTCCGCCTTTCACTCCGCATGTCTCATTCTCCGTCTCGCCCCTGGATCACACTTGGAGCCGAAGCTGCGGCGTCGGCTCCGGCCGTGGTGCTATTGCGAGGTGCCTTCGGGCAAGCTCACCCGAGTCGCGTGTGCGCCATGACGGGTGCCGCCCCATCTGTCTCGTCCCCTCTCGGTTGTCATCCCCCAGACCCGTCCCAGGACGCGTTGGGACCAGGGCTCGAAGCGGATCCAGCCGTCGCGACGAGGACGCCCCGAGAGGTTTCGACTGCGCTTTGACATCTCAATCCCGAAAACGCGATTCTTCTTCGCGCTTCACGCCTTGCCTCCACGTCCTCCTCTTACCTCGACCGTCGACATCCCTCCACGACATCAGCACTCCACCCCTCATTCCCTTTCTCCTCGTTCCCTACTTCATCCCCTTCCTCTTCACCATCCTCCTGCTCATCCTCCTACCCTTCCTTCGGATGCAAATCCAGGGAGGTCAAATTCTGACTTCGCCCTGGTCCGAAATCGGGTTTAATCCGGTTAATCCTCCTTGATCCAGCTCCTTGACCACCAGAAATACTGCTTCTAGCACAAAGAAGTACCAACACTTCAGGGTTTTCACGTGTCGGGCCCTGGGAGGCGACACTCGTTCGACACTGTTTCGATACTTCCCTGAGTGCTCGAAACTATGTCTGGGATGTGGTCCTTAAGCGCGATGGGAGCAACAGAAAGGTAACCAGTGTTACCGTTCGTTGTTGCTCACTCTCTTCGGGCATTCACAGCCTGGCGGGGGCGCCGGGGACACCCGTGCCGCCATGTCTTGCACGCCCTTTCCCCTATTCCTTCAGTCGTTCTTCATCCTCCCTCCCTCGCTCCCGCCTCCTTTCCGCTTCCTCCTCCACCCGCTCTCGCACATCCCTCACTTCATCGTACCCGTCCCTCCCCCTCCCCTCCTCCCCCTCCTCATGTGCATCCTCTTTCCCTCCCCCTCCTGCTCCTCCCACCTTTTCTCTCCTCCCTCCTCTTCCGTCCCCTTTCTCTTTCTCTTTCCCCTCCGTCATTACTCCTTGTCTCTCTCCATCCTTTCTGGCCCCCCTCCCCGTCTCGCCGACGGCGCCCGCCCGCGCGCTGGCAGTTGCCCGGCAAGCTGCAGAACACGCTCAGACACGTCGTAGGCGCGCGGGGGGCATGGGGGAAGGCTGGAGGACGATGCAGGACGATACAAGGAGGGCCTTCGGGGGAATATTGAGAACAGGGGAGAGAGCGGGAGGATGCGATGGGGAGGCTCGGAGGCGATGGGAGGTAACGCGGGAGGTTCCGCCAGGACAGGGGAGGAGGTACGGGGGAGGAAGGAGACAGGAGTGTGTAACCAGGGGGCAGTGGAGGGGGCGGGGCCCAGGAGGGGGCGGAGGGAGGGGGCAGAGGAGAGGGCGGGGGCCAGAGAGGAGGGAGGAGGGGCCAGGGGCCAGGGGCCAGGGACGGGCGCCGAAGGAGGAGGGGGGGAGACCTCGCTTACTGCGCGCTCAAGGTTTCTCTTGCGCGCGGCGTGAGAAGCCTCATGTCCGCCAGCTAAGGCGTTTGGCGTAGCTCGCACGCTCGCCAACTGTCTTGCCCACGCGCGCTTTGCGTATGGCTGCTTCGCTTCGCTTCGCGGCGTGAGAAGCGGGGGCAATGTGTGAGTGGTGGGCAGGAGGGTGTGGAGGGAAGGGGAACATTCGGAGGGTGTGTGAGTGGTGGGCGGGAGGGTGTGTGAGTGGTGTGCGCAATGTTGCACTTCCACTTACTGTCCGCGCTTGAAGACCCTCTGCGCTGCCGGCTTAAAAAGAGTGTGGAGGGAAATCAGTACGTCAGAAGTGTTGTGCCAGACGGCGCGCGAGCAGGGTGAGAAAAAGAACGATCGCGCCTGCGACGGAATTCTTCGGCACCTCACCCAAAAACAGATCTTGCAAGCCTGTGTGGCTAAATCGTGTCAGAGAGGAGGAGGAGCAGGAGGAGGAGGAGGAGGAGGAGGAGCAGGAGGAGGAAGAGGAGGAGGAGGAGGAGCAGGAGGAGGAGGATGAGCAGGAGGAGGAGGAGGAGCAGCAGGAGGAGGAGGAGGACGAGGAGGAGGAGCAGCAGGAGCAGGAGCAGGAGCAGGAGCAGGAGCAGGAGCAGGAACAGGAGCAGCAGGAGCAGGAGTAGGGGGAGGAGGAGGAAGGCGGAGGAGGAGGAGGAGGAGGAGGAGGAGGAGGGGGAGGAGGAGGGAGGGGGGACGAGAGGCCCAGTGAAGGGCGGGGCGTCTCCAGGCCTTTGCAGCGAGTGCGGGAGCATGTTAGGCGCACCCCTTGTCGCGTAAAACGAGTCTCGGCGGCGAGCGAGGGGGGGAAGTGAGAACGAGTCGGCCTTTTCAGATGGTTCGGAAGCACCCCCGACTTTGAGAAGTGATTTGAGTCTTCCCCGAAGCCACAGGAAGCCTTTGAGAACGCGCAGTGGCTTCTGAGAAGTCCCGCCGTCTTCTGAAAGGGCCTTCTCCTTCTCGCTTCCCCCCTCGCTCGCCGCCGCGAGTAGGCGCCGTTTACTCCTGCGGACTTGCACGTGTGCTTCCCCACCGCAGCACAGTCGGAACTAACGGTTCAATGTGCTTCAGTATGATTGCAGAGGAGTGTCTTTCGCGCGTTTCGATTGGGGCAGATTGTTGTTCCTGTTGTTCTTCGCGAAAGGGCGAGCGCCTAATTTGTTACGCGTTTGCCCCCATCACGAAACCCCTCGATTTGAAGGCTCATCCCAAATTTCGCCGAGTCGTCCGCTGCTGCCCTGGCCGAATTGTCATCCTGTTGCTGCCGCTGTCCGCCCCCGCCTTCATGAGACAAGCCGAGAGTTGCGGGGCCCACAGTCGCGTCTTATTTGATCTCACATTCCTCCTCATTCTCCTTCTGCCCTCTCCTCTTTCGTACCTCCTATCTCCTACCTCCTCCCGCCTCCTCCTGCGGCTCCGCTGACCACGGCCAATGGAGATTCGTGCCGATTGCCTGCGTTGTTTGGCAGATTGTCGCGGAGGCTTTTCCGCCTAGAGCCCCCGGGTGCCTCGGGGGGGCCCTTTTGGTTCGGCAGTGCTTCGAGGCCCCGTGCCTCTGTGAACTGCATGGGGCTCGGTACCGTGTTCTCCCGGTGGCACACTCGTGTTGGGGGTTCGGGGCTCAAGAGACGAGGGTCAATGCAAATGGGGGTCAGCCAGGGCACCAGATCCTGCAGGATCCTGCGAAGACCCCCTGTGGCTGACCTGGGTTAGCGAGCCGCTCGTGGCCGCGAGGCGGCCGCGCGTATTGGCTGACCCGGGTTTGCGGAGACCTGCGCTGCAGTTTGTTTTTCCTTCATTGCAGTTTTTTGGTTTCCCGCTGACCCGGGTCTGGATTGACCCAGGTCAGAAGATCCCCGAGGGTTCGGTGCCTGAGCAGGCTGCAGGAGGGGTGCCTTCCGGTGATCTCCTGCTGTCCTGCGCTTTCTCGTGCTGAGGCCTCGGCCGCTCGTCGACGTGCCGTCAACCGCCGAGGCTTTGCGAACTTGGTGGACCTGTTCGCCATACTCCCGTATTGGATAGAACTTGTCCGAGGCTCGGAGGAGCAGCGCATGCTTTTGCGGAGGAGGTGGTGGAGGACGACGGTGGGAAAGTGGAGATCAGGAGAAGCAGGAGTAGGGCGTGTTTAGCATCATGTCTCACTGGTGGGCGTTCCTAAACGATGGGAGGAGCATGGCTCGCTCGTTTGTAAGATCGTTTCCGAGGCGGCCATGGTTCCTGGCGCTAACGAGGAGTGCACGTACAAAGATTTACATTCATATGTTAATATGTATACCTATGTTTCTCAGGTTGTAGGGGGGAGACCGAAGTTAAACGAGAGGTGCCCCAGCCGGGACATTGGTGTTTGTTTCGATTAGTGTCATGCGTCACGTGTTTGTGGGCGAGGCGAGGCGATGTTACGCGAGTTCGTTCTCTAGCAGAGGACAAGTCAAACAAGAATGAGTCGCCCCCACGGCGGCTCTTCGCGGTGGGTGCAAGGAACTATGCAGAACCTGAAGTCGTCAACCTCACCGCTCGTGCGAATATCCCATGAATTCGGACCCTAGTTGTTAAAGCCCCCATGCTTCCACATGACCCCTCGTTGTTCAACCCATATCATGCTAGCGCATCACTGCGGCCATGATGGCTCGTACCGATCGGCACTTCCCAGCACGTCTCTGAAGCGCGCTGGCGCGTGGGCACATCAGTGCGGGTCGGTGATTCGGGCGGGCGTGATATCGAAACGATGATAATGGCCATGGTGGTGGCGATGGTGACGTGGACGACAGCAAGGCTACTCACGGCGCCGATACTGGTTACGACGATAGCGATAATGATGTCCATGTGTCGGTGGGGAAGGTGAGTGTGGCAATGATGGTGGCAACAGCAGCGATTGCCGATGACGATGACGGCGGTGATGCGATGGCGTCGGTGAGGGTGATGTGGGAATGCGCGCGCGCAGCAATTCAATACCTTTGGCGGGCTTCTGGCGGCGGCACGCCCACGTGGCCCGCATGGTTTTTCTTGTCCCGAACTCGTCTGCAGGGCGCATGCTAGATCAACGCGGCCGCGCCGCGTGATGAGATGAAAATGCTGCTTCTGGACAATACTGCGAAATCGCATGTTGCCCCATCATTTCAGCAAGTGCGCGCGGACAGATACTCTGCACGTTTTGTCCATGACAGGTAGTTTGGACCTTGCACTGTGTATGCTGAACTGCTTGCACAACGAAAGTGTTTGGTATGGTTTTGGCATGCTCGCGCGCGTGTGATCGTTGTGACACGTGTGCAAAGTGCACCTGCATGGCATAATCAGACAGGGATGACGAAGGAACGGGGTGCGATAACGATCTGGCTGGTGTGGTGTGATTTCATATGTGAAATGAGCGACGGGGCAGGATCGCATGCACTTGCGCAACGGAAAGGTGAGCGGTTACCCCTGGACGAGGGGTGGTGGTAGATCATATTCTCCGATCGGTAATAGAATTCACGTGGTGCGAGCTATGTGGTGCAAACTGGGTGGCGCAGTCAACATAACGCAGCATCGTGGGAGTAAATTATGTAGCGCGCTCCATGTGGTGCATGCTGCGTGGTGCCGCTGTCCTCACTGAAGAGTTTGCAATCCAACTTCTCGCGCAAACATCGCAGGCTCCCACCCGCAACTTATTTGGAACAACCAGTGCGGCCGCGAGCGCGGAGACTGCTAGGCACTGGCTGGCGCATTTCTGCGATTGCGCTGGAGATAGCAAGCTCGCGCGCAAAGCGGCCAGTTGGTTTGGCATACGCGATGCGGCCGCGTTGGCGTCTACCGATGGGAACCACCCAGCGCGACTCAAAGGTCGCGCTGGCGAGTGGGCAATTCAGTGCGGGTCGGTGGTCCGGGCGGGCGCGATACCATGGTGACGGCGATGACGTCGGTGTTGCAGATTCGGCGAGCCACTCTCAGACGCGCCAGAGCCAATGAATTGGTTTCCTAAATTCAAGGTGCCAGTCTTGCTGGAGGTTGACAAGTTGCCGTGGGCTCTGCCAGACGCGAAGTCTGGGCGGATCGTCTGGCCGTCTGGTGAGTGGCTGGCTTCTGTCCCTGACGGCGTCGAACATGGCCCCCCAGGATGACACACAACAGCCCGTGGAAGGGTCGAGAGGTCCAGGGGCCAGCGACTCGAAGATACCAGGTTGGATTGTTACGTTCGGGCAGACGGGGGCTGGGAGGAGGGAGCGTCGTTCCCAGTAGTTAAAGAGAGAACCTTCTCAGAGGCTGTGCCTCCGTGGCTCCTGGCATGTCTCGTATGGGTGCTAGGCCTCGCTACGTTTCGGGGCGAAGAAGGGTGCGTCCATTCCACCGACATGCCCGGCTCAAGTTCTTGTGCAGAGATTCGGGGCTCAAGAGATGGGGGATCAATGCAAATGGGGGTCAGCCAGAGCGCCAGATCCTGCATGATCTTGCAGAGCCAGGGTCGCAATGACCCGGGTTTGGGCGCAGGATCTTTCAGGATTATGCAGACTCCTGCAGGGCCAAGGTCGCACTGATCCGGGCTTGGGCAAAGGATCCTGCAGGACCCCGCAGGATCCTGAAGGCCTGACTGACCTGGGTCTGGATTGACCCAGGTCAGCAGATTCCCGACAGATTTCTGGTGGGGGACGGGGAGGGGAGTTCTCGGAGGATGAGTGCTGGGCCGAGGATCAGGAGCGAAAGAAGGACGTACACGTACATGAATCCACTTTGGTTTCGAGTGCGCACGGTGCGAATGCTCGTATCGCGCGGGCAGATCTCGCGGATCGAGGGGCGTTGTTCATGAACATAGTTGGGCGCGTACGCTCCTTGTGGGCTCCCTAGGAGGTCAAGGGCAGTGGTCACCAAGGGGGGAGGGGGAGGAGCGGGGCTCGGCCGCGCCCGGCTGGCCCGATGAGGACTCCAGCGGCGGCGCCCTGATGGTCCTGAGGACCCCGCCCCTCGCAAAAAAAGCCGCGGCCCGCCACTCCTCCACCGTCGCATCCTCCTCTTCCTCCTCCTCTTCCTCCTCCTGCTCCTCCTCCTCCTCCTCCTTCTCCTCCGCCTCCACCTCCTCCTCCTCCTCCTCCTCCCCTCGCGGTCTCATCCTTATCCTCTTCCCCCTCCCTCTCTCCCTCTCCTCCCCCACCTCTGCTTCATACATTTTGTTGCTCCGTTCCCCCTTTCCCAGAGGGGGGTGGCAGAGTGAGGAGTGGGGGATGAGGAAGGAGGAGGGTGCGGAGGATACGGAGGAGGGGGTGGAGAATACCAGAGGTACGTGGGCGTTTGGGCTTGTGTTTCCTTAGACCCCGCGGGGCCGTGGAGGTGCGGGGGATCTGCTCGTTGCCTTGAGGCGAGAGGGCACGGGCTCCAGGATGGCGAGCGACTTCCTCCACCTCCCCCGCCCTTCCTCCCTCCGAGCTCCGCCC